GCTGATTCATAACACTAAACCAATTAATGAGTCATAGTATATGGTTTGGTCCGTCTAAAATTTGTTTAGAACAAAATGTGTTAGGGTTAGTTTGGACTACGCAATTAGTTGTAGTCCAATTCATCAGCGCTGCAACTCAACCATTCTTTTTTCTTTTAGAAGGATTAATTTGCATTTATGGTTAGATTGACCATTCTATGATTTGTTTTCAACACAATCCGTCCATTTTGTGATTATTTTCCGTCCAAATTAATGACAAAAAAATCAACTTTATGTAACTGTAAACCACGCTTTTTATATGGTAAAAACGTTTTTCGTCATTTTGTCTGAATGTGCTTTATTCTCGTTTTCTTTTTTTCTCGGAAGAGAAAAATCCAAAAAGGTAAAAGAAAAAGAAGATAATAAAAAAAAAAACAGCATTTTATGGTCCAAGGAAATATTTTAAGAGGCAAAAATTGGAGAAAGAAAAAGAGTTAGTTTTACAGATCTCGAATTTGACACCTACAAGAATTTGGTCAAAAGTCCATCACCGACCAAAATAATTTTTTAACCCATATTGATTTTTAATTATTTACTTGTAAAAAGATATTTTCATATGAAAACTTATTTATCACATCCTTGTTAAATAAAGGTTCAATGCACCAGTTTGATCATTTTAAGTTTATCCGTTCTAGCTTTTAAGACATGACAGCTTAATAAATATATATTTAATAAATTCTTTAACACAAATACAAGATATAAAGTTTTGCCACTCTCTAATAATACATATCCACAAGAAAGAAAAACAGAAAGGAAGAAATGAGTTGTATTGACCTTTTCCAAGTCAAGTTGACTTATTCTATTTATTTTTTTCCAAGTGACTTTTATTTCTCTTAAGCTGCAGAATTAAATGCATTTTACCTGCCATAGTTATTTCCCAACAAATTGTTGAATTATTCTCTTAAGCTGCAGACTTAAATGAATTTTACCTGCCATAGTTATTTCCAAATAAATTGTTGAGCCAGTGGAGTGTCCTTTTGTTATTTACTTTCAAGTACCCATTAGTCCTACGGGGTAGGGTAGGGGTAAGTAAACACCCTCCACTTTCAATCAAAAGGTTGTGAGTTCGAGTCACCCCAGGAGCAAAATGGGGAGTTTTTGGAGGATTAACTGAGGGTCTATCTGAAATAACCTCTCTACCCCAGAGTAGGGGTAAGGTCTGCGTACACACTATCATCCATATACCCCACTAATGAAATTATACTGGATTATTGTTGTTGTACCCATTAGTACTGCAAGTTAGTAGTATACTAGTACTAACTATTAACAAAACCAAACCCGGTTTTGGTCAACTGGTCTCGATTGTAATCTGCAGCCGCATGCAACCAATAATTTAATACATCCTTCCGTCCATAATATGTGATCTTTTGAACTTTTTATGTTAGTCTAAAATAAGTGTTTTTTTACCTAATCAAGAACTGATTAACTTCATATTTTTAAATTTACCCTTATTTACATATCTCAACGTGTCAAGTTAACAATAAGTAAATTTTAATTGAGGATAATTTAGTCAAAATACTAATTCTTTTCTAGGAGTTAGTATTTTTTAAGGGATGTGTCATAGGCTAAAAAAATCATTTATTATGAACCGGTGAAAGTATACAATTAAGCAAGAACACATGACATGATTGATCTTAAAATTTGAGTTTTATTTGTGATCTCCCACTTTAGTCTGCTTTTATTTTTCGTTTAGCCCTGATCTACTTAAATTGCTGCTAACATGTTAGGACGAGAGTATATTGGGAAATTGTAGTGAGCAGCACAAAACTTTAATCAATCAAAGGTCATAAAATTAAAGTAAGAGACTCTCTTTGTTGTAGAACTTCACCAAAAACATTATTGAACTTCCAAAACCAAAGGAATGCAAGATGAAGGGTAAATGTTGATCTTCAATCCTTTCTTCTTCTTCATCTTCTTCTTTTTATATTTAAGTTACATATACAAAAAATATGAAAACTTTTACACTCTATTACTCGGTATATAGTAATATGTACTCAGTGAAATAGTTGGTGTGCACTCAAACTGATCTTGATATTTCCATTATAAATATAAAAAAATTATTACTGATTCTTTTTTAAACAAGTCTACTATTATAAATGTGGGCTTGAATTTTAGAGTTATCATTAAGTTAACCCATTCAACTCCAAGTTTTGCATGCCAATGAATCCAGAAAAGTAAATTTGTAGTAGCTGGACTTGGTGTATACTTAGGCTATGACGAACGTGATCGTTCAAGTTGTTAAAAACCATGGACCCTAACTATGATCTACATATAATAGTAAAAAAAAAAAAATGGTATGTAATCTAAATGTATAGCTTAGCTCTACAGACTAATAGCATGCTTGGCAAAGCTTATTTTGAGGCAAAAGCGTTTTTTTCTAAAATTAAAGTGTTTGGCCAAGCTTTTGAAAGGAAAAAAAGTGTTTTTGAGGAAAAGCAGAAAAAAGTAGTTTCTCACTAAAAGTACTTTTGACAAAAAAATACACTTAGAAACAGTTTTTTAAAGTTTGGCCAAACACTAATTGCTGCTCAGAAGTGTTTTTCAAATTAATTGGCCAAACACAAACAGTTTCTCACTAAAAGTACTTTTGAGAAAAACACTTTTTGAAAAAAATACTTTTCAAAATAAACTGATTTTTGTCTCTGGGCCAAACTGGCTATAAGATACTTGAATGAACAAAGGTATTAACAGGCTTTGCTCTGGTCAAAGGCAAAGCTAGGAATTGAATTTCATATATTCTGAAGTTGCCACCAAATTAGTAGTTCATTTTGAGTTTGTAATTAAAAATCTAAATGTATTTTGATGAATTTTTAATATAATGTCGAGTCGAAATAAAAGCTATTGGGCTTATCTACCTAATACATTACCCTTGCACCAAGCTCCAGTTGAGTACAGGATGTTACTTCATTCTATAAGTGGTTACTGCATCACAATCACAATCTGGATGTAGAGGTCCTAAGAAATTTTAGGCATAAATCATATTCCATAATCACACGGGAGATGAAAATTGTACTAGGCATGTCCCGTGCGACAAAACTGCTGATGAGATGAATCGATCTCAGATCTCGCATGTGCAAACCACTCACCCAATCCCCACGGACTTTTGAATATTAGAATCAAAATAACACCTTCATACAAAGTCAAAATCACTGTTTGTCTACATAGTGCATTACCTTTTGTTTTCTCTTCTAAAAACTAATAGTCGGAAATCTTCAAAGTTCGGGAAAAATGTCTATCGTTCAAATTTGAAAAGAGAAAATTTGCTTTTTAAAGCAACATTAGGAGTGTATATTATTTTTATCCGATTTAAATATAAAATCTTAATATTCAAATATGTGCTAGAATGCACACATCTTAATTTTAATAAAAATAAATGTAGCCAAAAAAATGTTAATTACATAATGGTGATACTGTAAAAATTTAGTTAGGGAGACAACGGCGCGGTTACGGTACGGGTTCAAACTTAAGTTATTCAAGTATAATTATTGCTCCGACCATGCAATGTTTACTTTCTACCAACAAGGGTGGTAGTGGAATGGTAAGTATTCATTCATCCTTAATCAGGGGTTTCGAGTTCGAGTCCTTGAATATGAAGTCGTTTTTGTTATAGAGAGTGTTTTACCCTCAATGTAAAACTTTCCGGTACAAATATGAATATAATCGGACCCCAATATAAATACGGATACCGGACGAGAACAAAAAAAGAATGTTTACTTTGTAGTTTCTACTACACTACTTAGTGATTAAGGTTCATATTGAGTGAAAAGCAATAAAGCACCCCCACATAGATCCCACTTCCCCAAAGTGTGGTCTCCATCCCTGAAGCTTCTCTCGACCTACGAGCCACACACACTATTTATACACAACCAACCATCTCGTAAGCTCACAGCTCATGATATCTTGTATGTCTTGTAACCACAAAGATTCTCTTAGTATCTCATCAAACACACGCACAACCATTTACTTTTAAAATTCCCAAAGCCTCATTCAAGATTCTTTTGCTTCTATTTCCAAAATGGCCGGTCGATTTAGATTCATGTTCTGTTTCTATTTGTTACTTGGAATCTTGTTTTTTCAAGCAATGGCGGAAGGGTCAGGAATTTCACGGCCATTCCCTCGAAAGCTGAAAGTAGAAACTGATCAAACAGAGAGTAGAATAGCCGATCCACCAATTTCAGAGAATACAGTAGCAGAGTCATTTGAAGAAGGAGAAGATGAAAGTGGTAAAGGACCCGCCATTGGTGAAGCTCCGGAGAGTATTCTGAAAATGGAGCATCATATTCATCATTCTGATAAGTCTGTTGCTGGAGGAGGGGTCATTATTGGTGGACTTGTTACTGTCATTTTTGCTGCTGTTTATTGCTATATTAGAGTCACTAGAAAGAGAGATGAAGATCAAAGTTGAGGTTTATTTTCTTTTCTTTTTTCTCTTCTTTTTTTTGGGGGGGTCGGGGGGTCTTTTTGGAAAGAAAATATGTGAATATTAAGTTAGGATTAGGATATAGTTCACTGTTTCAGGAAACTTTCTTTTAATCGATTTGGAATATTTTGTATGAGAAAGTTTGGGTGTTAGGTCTTAGGAACAGGGAAGTAGTGGTTAAAATGCCAATTGAGGAGTTTTCAAGCTAAATTTGCATGTTTCCTTTTTATTAGACCATGAACATTTGTAATACCTCTCCTTGTGCTACAATTTATGTGTCAAACCTCTTTATGACAGCATATTTTTTGACGCTATAGTGAAGTGTTGCTATAAAGGATATATATTATAACATAACATAATAATCGGTTTTGAGAAAAACTTGTTTTATACAAATATACTGTTATTCAAATAAGTAGTTTGAATCAGCACAAAATTAAAAAAAAAAATTAGAAATTTGTGTTCTTGGACAAGTTTGAAAGCATTTGATAGGTTACTCAAGCTGAAAGCTTTTAAAGGATAAGAAAAGTGAAGATATATGAAGTGCAGCAATACCCTTGTACTATTTGAGTATCTGGTCCCTACCGTTATACTATTACATTTGCCTGTAATTTAGACCGAAGGATATGTGGCAATCTAAAAAACAAATAACCCTCCCCAATTTTATGCGAGTATTTGGTAGTACATTTTAGCTGCGTAAACACAACACACAATTATAATTCATAAGTCATGCCGACCCTTAGCAGCCTAGTCTGAGGAATAGCCATAACTTTCTCCCCTTGCCTGAAGTTCTTGCGCAAGAAATGATATGCATAGTTGACAACAAATTTCTTCAAGAATGAAGCATCTTGTTTAGCCACCACTTGTGCTTCTCCCAAGAGATAGAACACTCCTTGTTCCTTTGCTTTTTCCACAAATTGAATCTCTTCTTCTTCCTCAAGTCTAGGGGACATGACCATTTGTGTTCTAGTACTTGATAAAGAATGAGTTGACTGAGCTACTGAACTATTGACTAATGACATAATTGAACCAGTTGATACTGGTTCACTAATTTCTCTGTCTTCAACTTGATGATCATGTGCTGCAAGAATATAATGTTCGTGTCGAATGAATTCTTTCAAATGTTCCACTAATTGGTTTTCAAATTCCTCTGGCTTCCCAAGTTGATCATTGTACCCTAACCTAACTACACATCTTAACACCTTGTATTCTCTTGGCTCAACATGTCGGAACAAGAAACGTTCCTCTAGCGCTACTTTACTTATAGGAATGGATTCAATTGACACCAGAACTACGATAGAATGGATGCACGGAATGTTTGAGACAAAGTGAGGAAATATAGGTGGAATCCCCTGTACTAATTCAGAGTAGAGTAGTCCTATTCCAGGTACTCTTTTGATGTCTGGATTCTTGGCTAAGTCCCTAATGTAGTCACTCGAAACCTTGTTATTGAGCTCGAATTCGTACCTACGTTTTTGAACATAGTGCCAAATTCCCATAATGATCACAAGCACAAATGAAAAAGACACAGGTAGAAAACCACCTTGCGCGAATTTTGTCAGCTGAGCGAAGAGATATGTAGATTCTATGGTAACGTACACCACGTAGAATAGGATAATCCACCATATGCTGATTTTCCATATAAGAAGCATTATTAATGTGACCATATTTGTGGTTATAATCTCAGCAGTAACCACAGCGATACCATAAGCATGCCCCAATTTTTCTGTGGTTTTGAAGCAGAAAGTAACTAGAACGCAAGCAACCATGAGGAAATAATTGAGTTCAGGGATGTAAACTTGACCCTCGTGCTTCGCAGATGTGTGAATTACTTTCACCCTTGGGAAACAATCTAGACTTTGGGCCTGAGCCACAATAGAAAAAGCTCCAGATATCATTGCTTGACTTGCAATAATGGCTGCAGCAACCGCCACTACAAATGTTGGCCAGTAAAGTGGACCTGTAAATAGCACCAACTTCAAAATGGTTTCATCCATATCACATCAAAACATAATTTATTTATCTATGTAGGTGAAATTTGCACTGCAAAAGTGAAAAAAGTTAACGAATTATTATAGTTAAGGAATATGATATATGCACGCGGGAGACTTGCCTGGAACTGATTCATAGAAAGTATTCTCAACATGTTCGGGGAATTTTGAGAGATAAGCAGCTTGACCACTGTAAGCTGAGAGCAATGCTGGAAATACGACACAACTGAAGCTTATCTGCGATGCATATATGTACAATCGTAATATTTACAACAATTAGGTCAGAGGTAATTGCAAGTTAACTCTATTTAATAACATTGCTTACTAACCTACAATAATAGAGCGGCAAAATAAAAAATGTAAAATGAAGGAGACTTACTTGAACAGACCGCACACTGAAGTGACCCAAATCAGCAAACATAGCTTCGGATCCTGTAATTGTTTCATAAAACTTTCAACAGATAAAAGTATTTGTAACTTGAAAATATGATAAGTAACATGGTATAACCGATTAAATTACACGAATACTGTAAATAAAATTTTAAACTGTAATGCAGAGGAAAACTCCGCCAAGGGAAAGCCATCCTTTTGTACCGTTTCTTTTGAAGTAATCAATAATGTATTTGGGATTAAAGGCACGTAAGACGCTCACATCATACTTGAACAAGTTGTAGAGACCAATGCCACTTATAAACAAAAACCAAATGCAAATGGCTGGAGCAAATGTATATCCCACTTTGTCTGTACCAAAACTTTGAACACAGAAAAGGGCTACCAGTGTTGCAATGGAAACACCCACAACAGCCTCTGCAATAAATCTTTACCATCAGTTGTTTCAATCAGTAAAATCGAAAACAAAGAAATTGGAGAGAAAAATAGTACTCCCTCCCGTTTCATTTTATATGTCTTAGCTTGACCAGGGTACCAAATTTAAGAATGCAACGAATACTTGTAGTCTTAAATTAAAAGCGTATCCGCATATATAAAATATAATATCAATAATCCTCTTTTGAATCTTGTGATCAGAATATTAATTATTTACTAAATATATAAATATGGTATTCTTTATTAAATGGATAAATAAAAAAGATACATAAATTGCAAGAGTAATTCTTTTTTTGGATATTTGTGACAGACAAATTAATACGTCAAGAAATCTACTTTGCAACAGGCTGTCACAAAACAGGCGTAGCAAATATTTTCTAGCTGATTATCACCTTGGCCTAGAGGCTTTATTCCACTTACGGCAGAGAGAACTGCATGAGAAAGCACCACATTAAACAAAAATAGTGTCGATCATATAGCTTGAAATTGACAATAAATCTGAGTATGATGGAGTATATATGTTTTTACTAATATTTAATTAGTAACCTGAGATGCAAGGAGTAAGAACTCCATCACCAATGACCATAGAAGTTCCAAGGATGGCGACGAAGACAAGAAATATTTTTGCAAATTTACTCTTCTCCAAATTATGTCTGATCTTTTGAGCTCGTCTAAATTTATTGGATGGTATCTCTAACTTATAGTGTGAAAGCTCTCTGTCCTCTGGTTCTTGATTTGGGATGAGACTCACTTTTGCATATCGACATATTAAAGAATACAAGGCAAATGCTCCCCCTGCATTCGTTATTCGGTCAAATGGTGCCAAATAAATTGAGTCGAATGAGAGTAGTAAATAATAGTGACGGACATATTATAACTTACCATCGCCATTGTCGTTGGCCCATAAGACAATGAAGACATACTTAGCCATAGGTACGAGGATTATGGAATATATGATGAGGGACAACACCCCGAGAATGTCATCCTTGTGTCCAATTTTATCAGTAAAAGTACTTGCATAAACGTAGAGAGGGGAAGTTCCTATGTCTCCGTAGATAACTCCTACTGACTGAAATGCTAAACTCAGTATTGTCTTCCAATCAGCCTGCAGTGACAATATCAACAATTTCAACATATATAAACTAAATTCACTGTCACCTAAAAGATAATTATATACTCGAAAAACTAAATTAGGTGGACTGCAACTTGCTACACTGGTTAGGCTATATAAATAATTTAAAATTTTATTAGACTTTCACTATATATAATAAGTTAAATCCGTACCTTAGAGGAATGTCCAGCTGGAGTGAAAGAAACTTTTCCAGCTTCCAAGTTCAGAGAGTCTACACGGTATATTTTCTTGTTTTCCATTCACGAGGCCTTCTTCTTTTTGCTTTGCCAGTCCCCACCTTTGCTCTTTATATATATAGGCCCTCAAAACTCACATGCACCCTTAGAATATTCCCTTTTTTCCTTAATATTTTGTACTTAGCAGCTATTATTATAACCTTTAATAATAAATGCAGATATGAAGTTAATGCTTTATGCGTATTATTTTCTAGTCATGATGATAAAAGCAACCTTTTTTCTAACTTTTGTAATTACAGTTAAAACTTCTCTGGTCATAAAAAAAAATAGATTCAAAATCAGAAACGAATCTTTCATAAAACATTAAATAGTAAAATATAAATTATCCCCAAAATCTGACTCGATTTGAATCTTCCACCACTCGAAAAAATGCAACATTTGGTGTGTGATCTTTTTTAACGTTAAATAGTAAAATTTCTAGCATTAGGACAAGGCAATATAATTGCTAATTCTCTTATAAAGTTGCCGGTTGTTAATCGACGAACCAAATAATTTTAACAAAATGAGAATGTTTGGCTTGATTTAGCAATATGTACATACCCCTTTGTCTTTTCTTACAGCTGACAAAATGTACTATTAATAAGATATCACAACAATTGTACCTGTATATAAGGTGCAGGTTACATTTTATTACCTAAGAAAAAAAAAAGGCCGACAAATGAATAATTTATCCAGCAATGTTGTTACAACATTACTCTTTTATCCAACCAATTGAATTCATCATAAGGAAACAAATCCTAATAATCTTAAACAAAAGACTAAAAGGAGTACTCATACTATTTTTCAATTGCATGTATTTGGGATTTTCTGTGGATATTGTTGTGCTAAAACGGTCCAAAGATACTCTTAACATGGTATGATATTGTCTGCTTTGGACCAAGTCCGCATGATTTTTCCGAAAAGGCTTTACATCATTAAGAGTATCAAACTCCTTATAAGTAGTTTATTTTTCTTTTCTACTTTTCATGTGCGACTTTGTTCACACACTCCCAATAATCTCCCACTTCAACTAAGTTTCACATGACTCATCACCGTTTATGGGCTAATTTGGAGATTAACTATGTGTCACCTACATGGTCCGAGTATTTACGGTCACCAAAGCCCAAGGAGAGGTTGTGTATGCGTCTTTGAAGCTATGGGTAAACGTAGTGAATCGGCCCATAGACAGGCAAAGGCACGAAGCTGGGCCTTATGACATCACTTCGTGTTGGCCCAAATGATTTGATGATTGACAAAGGAACTCAAGCATGAACCAGGTCCATACACAGTGTACACAGACACGGGCAAATTCGAGCATAAGGGATGCATGTGAAGGAGATAAGCTTAAGTTATTATATCTGATATCTCCTGATCGAAAAGGTTGCATAAATGATAAGGAGAAGGACTCCTTACTCGAAGAGAACTTTATCCAAGATAAGGGAGGAGTTAGAAGTTGAAGATAACTAGAACTCTTCCACCAAGGAAGAGTAAAGTATTAGAACTCTAGTTAATCTTTATTTACTAACTTTATGTATATCAGTTGTGTTCTCATTTACAGGTGACGCACAAACGCTGAAGTTAAACTTGAGTTGAGAGCGAAATAGCAAGGCATTTGCAAGCAATTCTTGTGTGATTCAAGTGTGCGAACCTGAAGCTACATGAACATGATAGAAGAACCAGTTTCAAGTGTCTGTCTTTTATTCTAGTTTCATTGTTGTAGGTGTTTTAAAATTTTACCTTTCAGCTTTATCTAGAGGCAATTGTTTTAGGTATTCTAAGTATTCAAGTTAGAGTTAACTTGAAGTTGTCGCAACAGTTAGAGGCTGGTTTCCACAACGGGATTAGAGGTAATCCTTAGGTTTACAAAGAGTTTTGTAAATATTATTTTGGCTAGTGATTTAGTGAAGTGTTAGAGAAAATTCTACTGAGTAGTAGGTCGTATTTTTTTCACCTTTTGAGCCGGGTGTTTTTCACGTAAAAATACTTGTGTTCTTTACTTTCCGCATTTACTATTTCTGCAATAGTAGTATAAGGAACTCATAGAAGAACCAGGTGCTTCTACAATCAATTCACGTAAAAATTGGACACCACACAAATCATCCTCTCCCCACCCCTTCTTGTGTGACATTGAAGTACAAAACATCAATTGGTATCAGAGCAGGTTATCCTTGAAGAGGCTAACACCTTAGGAAAAGATCAAGATGAATGCACCACCTGGAAACTGGGAAGGGCAATTCACTGCTAGGCCACCACTCTTTAATGGACAGTACTACTCTTGGTGGAGTGGTCCACTGGCTACCTTGAAGAAAAATATTGAAGGAGTATATGTGCCAAAGACAAGACCGGATTGCACTGCTGAGGACTTGAAAAAGTGGGAGAAGAATGTTAAAGCCAAGAAATGGCTTGTTTGTGGACTTGGTACATATGAGTACAGTGGAATCCAAAGTTATACCACTGCTAAGCAAATTTGGAACATACTGCAAGTGGATCACGAAGGAACACCTCAGGTGAAGAGATCCAGAGGAACTCTACTATAATCTCAGTATGAGAACTTTGCTATGAAGGAAGGAGAAACCATTCAATAAATGTACACAAGGTTCACTACACTGACAAATGAGCTAAAATCTCTTGGAAGGATTATTCCTGAAGAAGATAGAGTCGAGAAAATACTGACTAGGGTTTTGCCTATCACTTGGAAGAGTAAGATCACTGCCATCTAGGAATCAAAGAATATTTCCACTCTTCCACTGGATGAATTAATTGGAAATCTCACTGCTTATGAACTTAGGAGACAAACCATGAAGATGGATGTGCCTAAGAAAGGAAGGAGCTTAACACTAAGAATCACTGAAGGTTCTGATCTGGAAGATGATGAAATGGCTATGATCACCAAGGACTTCAAGAAGTACCTGAGGAGAGGAAATGGTTCTTCAAGAAGTGGAAGCTATAGCAAGTCAAAAGCTCTTGAGAAGCAAACTAATGATGGTTGCTATAAGTGTGGAAAGACTGATCATCATATCAAGAGCTGTCCTTTGTGGGAAATTGAATGGAAGAATGAAAGAGCCGAACGAAGGAACAGGAAGAAGGAACAGGTTCAACCCAAGAAAAGCAACAACAAAGGTTTAACCAAGGCTATGGTCGTTGTTCGGGGAAAAAGCTCAGATGAAAGCTTAGATGATGAGGAGGAGGAGGATGAACAAGCACTTATGCCCATTTGAGAATCTGATGAAGAAACTGAGGTAAGTGTAATTCATCTCAAAGACAAGATTAAATTGTTGTCTAAAGAAAGGTTATATGAGTTACTATTAGAACTAATTGATGAATCTGAGGATGTAAACAACGAAAAGGAACAGTTGTCTAAATAATGTGTGATTTTGAAGGCTAAGTGAAAAAACTTGGAACTTAGAGTTAGTGAAACTGTAAGTGAAAATATTGTGTTGAAGAATCAGGTTCATGCACTTGACTCGACTGTCCTAGAGCTTAGATCCGAAAATCTAAAATTGAAATTAGGAACAGGTAAAAAGACAGTTGATCACACACAACTCACTTTAGAGAAAAATGTAGGAAAAATAAAAGATGAGTTGTAAAAGAGAGATAAACAGGTAAGAATTCTAAAAGAGGATCTAAGCAAGGTCAAGCATGATCTAAACGGATCCTGTAAATGGAACACATCCTCTGATGCACTTTCATGGCTACAAGAACACCATAGTAGCAATAGAAGAGGACTTGGCTTTGGGGACTCGACACTTAAGTGAGATCCCAAAAGCAAGTATCTCACACTTCCTGAAAACAAGATTTGCATACACTATGGTAAAATAGGTCACTATAAAAGTGAATGCACTACAAAAGAAAAGGAAAGTCAAAAGAACAACGAATTTGTTCAAGGGACGAATAGGCTACCAAATTGGGCTAAAAAGAATCTGATTCATCTTTTTGCCTATAGAAAGGGACCAAACTAATTTGGTTCCTAAGACTAACCCCTGATTTCCTTTTGCAGGTCCAAGTGAAGGGGAGCAGCCAAATATGGCACATAGATAGTGGCTTCTTAAAGCACATAACAGGAAGCAAGAACCAGTTCCTTTCACTTGAGGACCTTAAAGGAGGTAATGTCTCCTTTGGAAATAGGAAAAAAGGTGAGATCATTAGGGTTGGAAAAGTAGGTAAGACTGATTCTCACTCCATTGAGAATGTCTACTTGATGAATGGACTGAAGTACAGTCTAAAAATGTATCACAATTGTGTGATAGAGGTAACATGGTAGCATTCACCTCTACAGAATGCTTTATAATTAATCTTATCACTGACAAGATAGTTTTGCAGGGAAAAAGAGTAAACAATATATATATTATAGATCTATCCACAATTTTAGATAATGAACTCACTTGCTTAAGTGTGTTGGATAATGATCCCCTCCTTTGGCACAAGAGACTTGGATGCCAGTCTAAGTCAACTCAACAAACTAATCTCCAAGGATTTGGTGATAGGACTGCCTAACATTAAGTTCAAGGAAGATAAAGTTTGTGAGGTTTGTGGAAAGGGGAAGCAGGTAAGATCCTCTTTCAAAAGCAAGAAAATGGTAAGTACCACCAGGACGATGGAACTGGTACATATGGATCTTTGTGGACCAATGAGAATATTGAGCAGAGGTGGTTAGAGATATGTTATGGTGCTTGTTGATAATTACTCTAGGTTTACTTGGACACTATTTCTAACATCTAAAGATGAAGTAATTGACATGTTCACTTCTTTTGTTAGAAAAAATCAGAAACAACTAGGTAATAAACTTGCATCAATTAGGTTTGATCATGGTACTGAATTTGAAAATGCTAAATTTGCTGAATTTTGTGATGAGCATGGCATAGATCATAATTTTTCTGCTCCTAAAACTCCACAACAAAATGGAGTGGATGAAAGAAAGAATAGGACATTGGAGGAAATGGCTAGGACTATGCTTCTTTCTAGTAAACTGCCCCATAGTTTCCGGGCAAAAGCTGTAAACACTGCATGCTACATCATAAATAGGTGCATGGCTAGACCTCTTATTGAGA